TGCATGAGCAATGAGTTTTGAAGAAGAAAAGTTGGTCCTCCATACTTGAAATTTAGGTCATTTTTCATGTCAAGACCTTGAGCAAATCGAATTAAAACCTATTCAATCTTGCTTTGCAGTTCCTATAACTTGCAAATCCTTCCTTTATGAGAAGATTATATGAGTTCTTGAGCCATTATCCAAAGATTGAAGCATTAATCCAAAGTTTCATTCCATTTATGGAAGTTTTGGCCATAAAGATCACAATACCACTCTTGTAAAGTAACTTTAATCACAAAGCTAGCTTTCCTTGAGACCACAACTTGTTTCTTCTACATAAGCAAAATCTAAAAGATTCCAACCACTCGAGAATTCATTGTACCTTGGATTGGGACTATGAAGGCCATGTAATTACCATGTTTAAAACCAACCAAACCATGAATATTCAAGTTGCAATTCTGCCTAGTTGGTTCCTTTTTCTTACCCTATAATATAGAGGTGTGTCTTTTGCTTAAAACAACAACAAAAACCATATGAACACACCCTTCAATAAGCCCCGTAACAGAATTTCATCAAGCTTGCATTTTGAACCTAAAGCTTCATTTTGCATAAGCATAGCCAGTTTCATTTTCAGACACCAAATCTCCAAACCAATTGTCCTAACACATCACTAAACACCTCATAGAGGTGTTCAAAGCATCATCTCCATCCAAAACCTGCAAACTTAGAAAGTCAACCCTCATACCAAATTGGGTTGACTTTTTTTGCATTTTCTAAACCAAAATCACATTTCGATCATTTCCAAAACATCCAAGGATTCCAACACTTCCCACAAATCATCCTTAAATTGTTCCAAGCTTTACAAACTGAGTGTAATAGCAATTTCTTACAGTTCGAGTTTCTACCTTTGTTACTTTGCAAAAGGGATCCTATAGAGCATTCAAAGTGGTTTCCAATCCAAGTGAGCATCACAAAAGGTCATTGGAGGTTCATTGGATATACTTCAATCAACGAAAGAATTTTGTAACATCTTTTGAGGACTTTGGATTTTTGCTCATAAAGTAAGTTTTCCCTACAATCTGAACTCATTGAATCATGTCTTATTTTGATCCACCTTGAACTACAAACTTGTTTGTTATGATAGTCAGGATGTTTTCCCCCCATTAATTGTCATTAATCATGTTTGCATGAGTTGCTGGTTTAGAGTTCCATTTTTAGGGTTCTTATGAGTTCAACTTGGTTTTTTGAGTTATAAACACATTTGGTTCAATTTAATGGTACCATTGAATTCGTCATTGAAAAATAGACATGTTTCATTTTTGTAGTTTGCAGTTTCATTCAATATTCAGAAAGTTACATTTTTGAAAATTCAAAAGAGGGAGGAAATGTTATCAGGTTGAAGGAGAAGGTGATGACGCCTTAGTCTAGTTTTTATGTCTTGCTTTAGTATATTATTATTTTGGTAGGGGTGATAAATGGATGAATCACCACCCTAATGGTAGCAACATGCGTGTTTCCTTGTTTCTCTTGTATCATGGCACAGGTTCGATCCTTGTGAACCACCCTTTTTATTCCTTTTTCCAAATTTCGCTTCCTTGTGCATTCTGAAGTCTTCTTAAAATATAAATGTGTGTTTCCCTAATATGTCACACGCGCACATGTGGTATGGTGGTCTATTTTTGAGCCTGCAACCTGAGTGTCTTGGTTTCAAACCCCTTTGAGGCCATCTCCTTCTTTTTATTACTTGGTTTTTTCACATTTTATTCACAACTTTGAAAGCACATAATGTTTTGATCCCTTAACCTTTTTTAGCCATTATTTTTCCTATTTTCTCATGACATTGCCTATTTCATGATTACATTTTAAAATTCCATAAAATAATTATTTTTCACACACTTTTGTATGGTTGAAGTAGGCACCGTTTTAAAGGTTTTTAAGTCCTTTAGTTGACTTCTTTGCATTATTCTTTGATTTATCTTAGCCATGTTGACTTGTGTGAATACAGTATACCATGTTTGAACCTTGAACAATGTTGATAACAAGTTACTTTAAATTTTTCCTAAGTTTGAGGTACTTAAATGCATTCTTTTTCATTTATAAATGCACTTGTCTTCCATATATGATTATGAAGTTTTCTTCTTGACCCTTGCCATGATATTTTTCAATTATTTCATACTTCCTTGAACACTTGTATGTATGTAAGTCCTTGTTCTTGTCCACTTTTGTTCATGTGTTCATAAATGACATTAACTTTAATGACATGTCTTTACATGATTCATAACTTGTATGTTTGCCATGGCCAAATCTTTGTGGTATTTTAATCCTTGAATATAATCACTTTAAACCTTCACATTTACTCTAGGTTGTTACCTATGTCTTAGACCATTTATAAACTTGTTCTTTGCATTATTCTTTGATTTATCTTAGCCATGTTGACTTGTGTGAATACAGTATACCATGTTTGAACCTTGCACAATGTTGATAACAAGTTACTTTAAATTTTTCCTAAGTTTGAGGTACTTAAATGCATTCTTTTTCATTTATAAATGCACTTGTCTTCCATATATAGTTTTCTTCTTAACCCTTGCCATGATATTTTTCAATTATTTCATACTTTCTTGAACACTTGTATGTATGTAAGTCCTTGTTCTTGTCCACTTTTGTTCATGTGTTCATAAATGACATTAACTTTAATGACATGTCTTTACATGATTCATAACTTGTATGTTTGCCATGGCCAAATATTTGTGGTATTTTAATCCTTGAATATAATCACTTTAAACCTTCACATTTACTCTAGGTTGTTACCTATGTCTTAGACCATTTATAAACTTGTTTGAATGATTAAATTAATGTCTTGACTTTGTTTTGCATGATTACTTTGGAATGAAATCCATGTTTAGGTATTGTTATGACTTATACATGTCTTGTTTGAATTTTACATCTTATCCATGTTTAAGTATTGTTATGACTTATCCATGTGTTGTTGAACTTTTTAATGTTCTTCATGTTTAAGTATTGTTATGACTTATACATGTCTTGCTTGAAATTTGAATCTTCTCCATGTTTAAGTATTGTTATGACTTATACATGTCTTGTTTGAACTTTGAATTGTTATCCATATTTAAGTATTGTTATGACTTATATATGTCTTGTTTGAACTTTGAATTGCCATCCATGTTTAAGTATTGTTATGACTTATACATGTCTTGTTTAAATTTTACATCTTATCCATGTTTAAGTATTGTTATGACATATACATGTCTTGTTTGAGTTTTGAATCTTCTCCAAGTTTAAGTATTATTTTGACTTATACATGTTTTGTCTTGTATTCATGATTAAGTGGTGTTAGTAAACCTTAATCTATGCTTATCTTAGTTGTATACTTGAACTCTTGTTTTCATCTATGTTTATTTTGGGCTTGTTAGAACCATGTCACATGAATTTTTTTGGTCTTGTTAAAACCATGTCACTTCTATGGTTCCTTGATTAACATCATGTTTGAATGTTACCTTATAATTGATATCATGTTTGAATATCATCCTTGTTCATCTCATCTATATTCACCCATCTTGTTCATGCTTACTTTAACTTTGTCAAGTTATACCTAAGTGATGTTAACTTGTTAGCTTTCATCCTCCTTTGTTAAGTCTTGTTTCCAAATCCAAAGGAAAGGTCTTTTCATTAACTTTATGTCATAGGTAGCTTAGTCTTACCTCAACTTCCCTTTTGACCTTGTTAGAGTCATTAAATTTTCAATTAGCTTAGGATAGAGTTTGTAAACTCTATGTTAGTGTTATTGTTATGAACACTTACCTTCTCCTTTGAACCTTGATCGCTATCAAGTGTTCTTTACCCTTGTTTAGGTGAACTATGCTTGCTCTGACTCCATCCTTGTTAGAATATGTAGGCACAAGACCGCAAAGTTTTGGCGATCATACTTAGCAATAAACCACTATGTCTTTCCCCGTAGAATATTTCCCAAACATAGCAAACAAACAATAACATAACACAAATACAACAGGAGGTTCCTATAGAGTACTATAGATACTTAGGGTGCTAATACTTTCCCTTGGTATAACCAACTGTCATACCCCAAATTTGTCCTACCTGTATATAACTTTCACTGGTACTTCCATCTACTAACCATTACCATTCCGAAAATCCAGAATATGTTGCTTCTGCTTTTATTTTCTTCTTGCCTAAGTCCAAATTCATCTGAGGCTATCAAGACAGTTATGTGTGATATTGATTGAGGTTAATGTGGTTTTGGCTTAAAGGCAGTATATCTTGTGGATTCATGAAGTATCAGGTCATGGTGCGTGAGATCAAGTTGTGGACTCATATTGTGGTCAAGGCATTATTGTCTCTTAGTTGCTTATTACTTGTTGCTTGTAATACAAGTTAATATGGATTTAAGATTGAGGCCGGAGAACCATTAAGAATGCAAGCTGGATTTGGATTGAAAGTTTGATTAGTTATAGGACTTCTTAGTATTCAAGTAATAAAAGTCGTCCATATCCATAATCCAACTTTCTCATTTTAGAAGCAATTCCATCTAATATCCATCTTAGTTCAAATTCAATCCTACTTCAAATTTCCAAGTTTCAATTCATATTCAATTTCAAATTCAAACATTTCAAGTTTTTAAGTCATGTTCAACTCCAATTTCGGTTTCAATTCATGTTTTGTGCCATTCAAAATTAGCCAATTAATTCCCAAATATCCATTTTACAACCTAATCCAAGCCGAGCCGAAGTGTTTTTGTGATTGATACCAAAAATAACGGTTTGAAGAAGAAACCACAGTCGTCTGATTCTCTCTCTCTCTCAACACAACACTTTCTCTTATTACATTATCATCATCATCATCGCACTCTTCGTTTCAAGATTAAGCTTTTTCACTCGGAAGGTGTTGAATTAACTATTTTACAGGATGAAAGATGTTTGTTAGAAATAAGATTTTGTCTTTCTTCATATTTATATAATGTTTTGTTGAGGCATTATTACCTTGTGTCAATAATGGCTGCTGATCAAAAGAGGAAACGAGTAAATGGAGCAAGCATTGTCAGTTATGGTGCTAGAGAGCAACACAGGACCAAAAGAAAGAATCTGGATTTAGTTCCAAATGACATGAGATCCCACATCTCTGTTGAATGGGATAGAAACAAGAAAATAGTTGGTGCCAAGCATGAACAAATTGGTATTAGTTGGAGACACATGAAACCGTTTGTCAATTATGTTTCTAATGATCATAAAGTCTTGGCATATGTGTTTAGAGTGCCTCAAGAAATTTTTGATTTAGATAATTTAAGTGAAGTGCTTTCATATGAGGTTTAGCAGGCCCATCTTTCAGAAAATTAGAGAAACCTTCTTATGAGTTTCCTCCCTAGGGGAATAAAGCCACTACAAGCCATGATTCATAATACACCAGCCAAAATAACCATCACAAGGCCCAATGGTTCACAACCGTCCTACAACCAAATCACTAGCTAGCCACAATATTCTCACACACATACACCAAGCCATAACCATATACATGCGCAGCAACAACAAACCACGATATAGCTACTTCAGCCTACAAAACACAAAGAATACGTTACCAGCATCAACGCAAAAGATACAAGCCATCAATACTTACACAAATCGTGTTCTTGCCTTACATAAAAAATGCAAACCAACCTTTACATAAGCCACCACACAGTTGACATAACAATGCACCTGCAATACACCAATCAAAAACCAGTCACGAATAATACAAAGCGAAACAACCGTAATTTACGCATCCACCAAAGTCATAACAGCCAACATTATTCACATACCATTACGTATCCAACCTGCCACTGAACCTTAAAAACCATTTTTTAACCATGATTAACGCTGCCAATATAACCTGACCCCACAAGGACCTTTTACACAACGTCACGCAAACCTCACAACATACAAAAACGACGAAAGTTAACAAATTGCAAAACATGGCCAATACGCAAAAACACATTACACACTCTCTCTGCTACAGAATCCGCGTTGCAACCATAAGGAAAACGAACCACAAAAGCATAAAACGAATGCCTCTACACAACTTTCTGGAAGAAAAAAACCTTTTGAAAAACTGTTTCTCTACAAACCTGAAATCACACAAGAATCCTTCTTTTTTTTTCCTGCAACATATCAAAAGCATTCACAACAATTACCCTTCCTTCATTCATCATCCATTCCAACCTCTATTTCTTTTGATCCAACGGACAAAACTTTAAATTTAGAATGAAACAGAAATAGAAGAAGAAGGATGAACCGATTCAAAACTCAACACGGCCCAGAATAGAAACGGAATTAGAGTGAACAAACCAGAAGTTCGTGCAAACCTAAAAGCAAATCGAACCAGAGACGAATCCGTGTGAACCAGACCGCGCAGAGCAAGAAGACGGAACCAGAAAGAGAGAGAAGATCGAGAGTCGATCGCGCGAAGAAGGATAGAAAGTGTCGACTTTGGTGTTTCCGCATTCGTCTATGTTTTGCTATTCGTCGACTATGTTTGTTTCCAATGGTAAGCATGCCCTTGCATATGAGCTTTTGGCTTATTCTGCTGCCGGTTTTTTTTTGTTTTGTGTTTTAAGATTCGTTGTTGTTGTAACTGGGCCAGAGGCCCGTGTTCTTTTTTTGTTTTACTTGATTCACCACCCGGTTCTTCCGCGTGGAGGTGATGGGCTTTGGAGGCCACATGATCCTCCTTTGATTCATATGCTCATACACCACATATTCTAGGCACCCTCCATTTTTTTTATCTCCCAATATTTTTTGCGATAATCCACCTTTGGGTCTCAAAAGGACAACCAACAATACCTAGGGAACCATGTCATAAACCTTAGGCTGCTCCCTATGCAAATCAACAAGCATATGGCCAAGGAAATCAGAATCCACGCCAAAATCAACATAGACCTCACAACAATTTGGGAAGAAGGAAGATCCTCTTCATCCAATTCATGTGTCTTACACTCAGCTTCTGCCACATTTAATTCGAAATTCACTGGTGGAGCCTAAATCTCTCAAGCTGGTTCCAGAACCATACCCTTCTGGGTACGATCCCAAGACACAATGTGGATATCACGCTGGATTAGTGGGGAATTCAACTGAAGATTGCAAAGTCTTCCAAGTCAAGGTTCATCAATTGATTGACGATAAATGCATATCCTTTCAAGAAAGGATTTTGGTTGTACGTATCAGCATCGCACCCGAATGAGTTTGAAGACTTCAAGACGCATCTTCTCAAGACAGTGAATCAAGAAAGAAGAACCCAATTCTTTAATGCTGGCAATTTTTCATTTCTATGCATTTGTAGTTTCTTTTCTATTAAGTGCTATTTGCTTTTAGACGTTGTTATTTATCAATGGTGTTGTTAATGTAATGATTATGTATCTTTTGATCAAATCCATTCGTATTCACTCGCATTTTTTCATTTATTGCAAAAAATCACCAAAAAAATTTCACTTCACTTCCTTTATCACATTGTTGCTTTAGCAAAGATTGAAGGGAGGATGACGAAAAGAAATACCCATAATTGCTGATAGTGTGCTTTCAGATAAAATCTTGTTGATGATGTATAGACATTGTTTCAAATCCCCAAACACTGGAGAGATAAAGAGTTAGTCCCTAGTCAACCACTTTGAGCCTAGAAGTAGGAGTTTCCTCCAGATCTATAAACCCTTACGCTTAACCTAGGGCATGGATAGTGTTCAGTTAACATGATTACGCACTCGAATCATAAGATAAATATCCAAAAGACATGATGGTTGTTCATCAATGACCAATGACTTGACAGTCACAAGCCTTTCAAAAATTAAATAAATTAAAAAGATCAAAAAGCCTGCTAAGTCGAACACCTCAATAGGAGACTTAGGCAAAAATCAAGCCAATCCCGATGAACTCGAAGAGAAAAATCAGTCAATGCAAAAGTTAGGGATCAAAAGCAAAAATGAAAGAGGTCTTCAAATCCTTAAGAAAAGCCAAAATAATATTTAGTGGCCACCATATCAAGAATCATAAGGGTCACTTACATCATGAGAAAAGTAAAATAAAGTGACTTCCATTTCAAGCGAGTCTCGAATTATCATCTTCATTCTCACACCGTCAAAATATAAGAACGCATGCAGAATTTAACTGAACGTAGGACTGGAGAATATCACGAAGAAGGGGTGGGTTAAAATTAAATTTTGAGCCTTATATCCTTTGTTTCTATAACCGTGAACTAGGCCGCAATACAACCCTCAAGAGACCTAATTGAGGTGGGGTTTATTCTGAAATCATACTACAGTAAGGTTACGTAAACTGACTCCTACAGATTTGTTAATCATTTGTATCGGTGTCATATTCTTGCTATATCTTTCATACACCAGCTAAATCAGCACTACGTTTGGACTAATGGTCCACTCGTCACACACTGCAAATCAGTACTTGACATAATGGAAATTCCAACAAAGAGAAATCAAAGAGGAACCTAACCATTTGTTGGTACTGGCTCAAATCAAGATTATCTCATAACCTTGTGAATCTGGGGCAAGTCCTTCTGAAGTTCAGACAGGGGCAGGCCACTACAAGATTCAAACACTTGGGCAAATGAGCTCAAGCCATGTCTTGGTATAATCTCTCCCAAAGTTCTCATCCTATAAGTAATCCTTCAAATACCAGGCAGACTAGTTGAACAGGGGCAGTTTCCCTCTTTGCTTTCAAAGTTGGTCAAGCAGACTGTGCCAGAAGCTAACAATTATTGAGGTCAACAAGCGTCAAAAGCCTTGGGGCAGAGCAAAAGCATGATCAACATGCATTGGTTAAGTCACTATGCTCGCACATTCAACATGCTTTAGTTACGTCTCTACGCTCAACATTTGTAAGCCATCATGACATATCAGCTAGAAGTGAGGTTTTTACAAAAACAAGTACACAATTTCTGCAAAACTTCTAACTTGGGGCACCAAAAACATCCACATCTATCCTCTGATCATGGCACTGTCAGATACTGTGTCAGGAACTCAAATCCTTTTACCAAATAAAGTCTAACATCGCTTGGCACATCCTCAAAGTCCAATATTTTATTGGCAACCAAATAAAGTCCAACCTCGCGTGGCACATCCTCAAAGTCCAATCTTTTATTGGCAACTACATAAAAGTCCACTTTTGTCGGCACTCTCAAAGTTACCCTCTAAAGTCCATTTTTTAATGGCAACCACTAAAATTCCACCTTTGTTGGCATCCTTATAAAACCAAAGCCCAATCTCATTTGGCAAAATAACTAAAGTCCAAATTCATTTGAAAACTACCAAATCCAGTCCCTGGTGATACCTTCAACAAGAAATTTATCCCCAGCGTACCTGGTCTTTTGCATTATCATAAGCATGACATATAGGATAATATCATGATCATATCAAGCATTAACACATCATTTGCATTCCCACGTGCATTAGATTCCCTAGCAGTTGCATTTTAGTTGCATATATACACCTCATAATGTATATCATTGTTGTCCCCAACGGTATAACATAACAACATAGCAGGATCCAGGATTAGTTCACAAGCATCTTGGCCAGTCCTCCATAAAGTCGGCAGTATTTCTCTAAAAAGAGTTAATGCCCCGCACGTGCTCATGGAATTTTATTCCTTGACAAGTCACTCTCAACCATGCAGTTGATAAAGATCGTCCCCAACAACTGTTTCTCTTGTTGCTCCCCAAGCATAGATTATCTTAAAAAGTTTCTTGAAGGCTTTTCCCCTAAAGAGTTTGGACAACATTTTTCCTCTGATATGGATTTTTCTCGACTATTCCTCAGCAAATTTATCGCTCGAGATACTGCTTTGGTATCGCGAGGAACCTTAATAAATAAGGGACTGCTTCGACCACCCGAAGAATCTCATGTGTTCAGAGATACTGCTTTGGTATCGCAAAAAACCTTGTTGGATAACGGACTGCTTCGACCACCCGAAGAACCTCATGTGTTCAGAGATACTACTTTGGTATCACGAAGAACCTTGTTGAATAAGGGACTGCTTCGACCACCCGAAGAATCTCATGCCTTCAGAGATACTGCTTTGGTATCACGAAGAACCTTAATGGATAAGGGACTGCTTCGACCACCTGAAGAAATATCGTTTGTGTTTAGAGATACTGTTTTGGTATCGCGAAGGACCTTAATGGATAGGGGACTGCTTCGACCAAAGATACTGCTTTGGTATCGCGAAGGACCTTAATGGATAAGGGACTGCTTCGACCACCCGAAGAAATCTCGTTCGTGTTTGAGATACTGCTTTGGTATCGTGAAGAACCTTAATGAATAAGGGACTACTTCGAC